GTCATGGGCCAACAAGAGATTCTCCCTTTCAGTCTTAAGGGCGCCCACCTCGGTTTGTGCCGCTTTCAATTGGGCATCTTTTTTCGATATCGTTGCCTCGTAACGAGACTTCTCATCCTCCACCCTCCTTCAAACTCAATTCATGCTGCTTTTCATCAAGCTCATGCACTCTACCCCGATAACTCTCCTCAGCAGCAATGAAACTAACAAGTGCCCGTCCCAAGCAACCTCGAGCATAGCTGAATTTCTGATCGTCGGGCAGAGACGCAATCCCAGCGTGAGTCTTCGGGTCCCACGACATCAAAGGAACTTTCGCTGCCTTAACCGCTTCATCAGGGAACCGATGATTATTTGTAAATTTTGGCTCGACAACGGTTTGGAACATTGAGAACCAAGGGTCAAACACGCCCTCTGGTAACTTTAACTCCGCCGCCTTTTTCTCATTAACTCTGAGGAAAGAATCCCTCAGGATGATCTCAGGTTCTTCTTCCTTTTTGTCTTTACCGGCGCCGGTGTTTGGCTTCTTCTTCATCCTCTCGGCCACATGTGACACGCTGGATCTTTTGCACCGTTGGACCACATTCAAACAAGGCTCTTCTGACACCTCTTGCAAGATGTCGGCTACTACAGAAGGCTCATCTACCGGCGTCATCACTTGCTGCAACGGGGCGATGTCGAGGGGCGTGACGTCGGAAACCACCGGTTCGTTCACAATAGCCGGTGTCGGCTCCACTCTAGTCGCTGAAGGCTCACCGACCGCTCCCTGAGGTCGGTTTGGATTCTTCTTCCATGCTTTCAGAAGATTCATGCGTCCAGCCATCTCGGTTGATTGAAGATTCTTATTTTTTCCGACTTTGTTCTTCAAATCGAAGTTCGGATTACGTCTCCGATGTTCTTCTACCTCTGCAGGATCTTCAAAACCGAAGTATCCCAGCAATGGATAATAGACTGTCATAAAGTATTTAAAGTTAGTCCAACCTCATTAATGTGAAGGATAAAACAAAGTAAGCGAGAAGTTTACCTGGTTGAAACGAAGAGTCGAGTATCTCGGGAGATAAACCAGCTAGCTCTAATCGGGAATCTTTCACGAGCCATTGGTATCGTCGCTTGTTATGAGAGATTTCAAACAACTTGTCCACTCGATCGTACAGCAGACCTTCAAACTTGGGCTCTCTCTTTCCCGTTGGCTTTGCTACAAGGTCACAAAAGTCCACCTGTTAGCGGAAACAAAAAACAAGATATTAATAACCGAAGTGAAGAAAACAATAAACAACTTACAATAACCAGATTTAATAGCCGTTGGGATACTCGTCCCATCGGCAAGAAGATCATTGGCAAAGTCGGCGCACTGCCAGTCCCCGCCGACCCACAACCATTCTTCTTGAAAGCCGTGTAAAGTGTCGGGAACTTCCATTATTAACTCGCCAACTTTGACTCTTGGTTGGGGTTTACCGACAATAGAAAAAGTGAGAAGCAGATCTGATACTTGTCTGTCCGGACTTTTCCAGAATGTAAACATGCTCCTCATATCCTTTGCCGATGGTAGATCCCACTTCTTTTCGGCAAAGAGCACCAACAATCCAATGATCCGCTTCCATGAATTTGGAGCGATCTGGCATATCGGAAATTCCCAGTCCCGCAAGTACTCAGTGATTATACGCGGCAAAGGGAATCGCAATCCTGATCTCAAACTCTCGGCAAACACATCGACACATCCGGGTGGGGGGCATGTAATTCTTTCACCTGGGTATGGTGCAAATAAGTGTACCGACGTAGGAACGCGGATTTCGCTCCGCAGCATGACAACATCGGCATCTGTAAGTATACTCGGTTCACCATGGGATGTAAGTTCGGGGTCTGGCCATCTTCTAATGGGTCGCCTCCAGAATCTCGGGTCATCAATAGCGTTTTCCTCTACGGTTTTGTCCCCCTCAATGTCATTTAGTCGGATTTTTAAGCGTTCAACGAACACTGGGTCCCACCGACTATATTCAGACAACAATTCCATCTCCCCGGAGTGGACCATGTTGATCATCATGACATCCAACTCATCGTCACCGGAAGACGCCCACGATACGCTCATGATGTCAAGAAAAAAAAGGGTCGAAGCAGATGAACAAAATAAAGAAATAGTTCTTACCACAGGAAGGAGCTCACAGATCTGGGATGCTCTGAGTACGGTTGAGAGACGATTAATTTGCAAAGAAGACAAAGAAGTCGATTGCAGGAAGAAAGTGAAAGTAAAGTGAATCTCGAGAGAAGATTTCCTATTTATACTAAACCCTAAATTTAGTAGCGACCGTTGGAAGACGGAAGAAATAGGGGCGCGTGGATCAGACGTTCTTAATTCGCGAGTCGACACAACCCTTGAGAATCGCGCCTCTCATCAACGGTTACGTGGCCTATTAAAAATGACCGTTGCCCCTATCAGTAAACGTTGCAATTAATCTTAATAAATTGCGTCGTTTCAACTCTCAGCATTATTTCTACCAAGTGTAAAGACATCGGAGGAACAGTTACAAAACCGACATGTTTCACTCGCTCAAGATTAGTTGGTTTTTGGAGGGTTTTCAGCATCACTGCCCGTCTTTTTCAAGACAACCATTAATGCTGGGGGCCACCTTGTTGACATCATTTTCAGTAAACCCAGTTAAGCGACGCTGATCAGATGATTATGTTTAGTTGGAGGGTGATTAAATTCGTACAAGTAGATGATGTCTCCACGGGCCTCAAGACAATCACATATCGAATAAAAATTCGTCAAGAACTGACATCTCCGTCATAACCGATATCTCATGTCGATTATGACATGTCGGTTACTACATGTCGGATATGACATATCGGTTATAACTACACGAGCCGATATCTATGACTTGTCAAACCGACACCATAAGGCGGTGCCAACTCAGCACAACTCATCATTACGCCTGGCCAAGTGGCGCGCTACCAGGATGAATGGCAATTAGCCGCCGTTGACTATTCCCATGTAATGATTACATTTCAGATAAATGCTGTAAATGAATATAAAAGGAAGGAGAAGATTCTCCAGCGGGACACACGAGAAAAACATTTAATAATATTCAGAGAATACCATTTCATTCAGCTTTTCGATCTTTGTTGATCTATTTCAAACATACGATAAATCTTTGATTATCATATAGTTGTTAATTTCCATTTAACAACAAAAAGATCAAATTTTTTTTATCCCATCCAATATTTACTGACCTAGTTTAAACAATATGACTAAAACTAATAATGTCAATTTTACCCTTATCTCATATTCACAATAATTCCATTATCTTCATCCAATCTTTTTCAAACCAAGCTCTTGCTTCTGTAACATCCCCTTTCCTCTCTAATCACCCGAGGCGTAAAAAGACGACGACCCATTATCGTCGACATAAGCAGGCCGAGGAGGGTAAGACAAGGACTAGGACGAAGCGAAAGGGACAAAAGGGGTTGAAGAGTTCTTACTTCGGGGTCGAATTGCAGCTACACAGAATGTTCAAAATTACAGGTACCTGAATGGAATACAAAGGACTTTGAAATCTACCATTCATACAGGATTGATAAAACCCAATGATTCGAAATAGTTGGGCGAAAAAATGAATAAAAAAATGAAGAAGACGTACCTGGGCAGCGATTAGGGTTTGTCGAAACGAACGAATTGTGTGAGAATGGCACAAAAACATATTTTATATGACCAATTGTGTAACTTGATGGACAACAGAGAGTATTTTGGACATTTCAAGTGGTATTCTTTGGACAAAAAGATAATTTGAAAAGAGGGATAGAACTATCTGGCCAACATGGGGTGACAAAAGAATCTGGCCACTCAGCATGTTGTATGTGGGACCCGCTGGCCACATAAAACGAATCCTAATCCCTATACCAACTAGTAAACGTATGATACGGTTGGTTAACCAACCTTATCATATCCTATCATGACTAGTAAACCAGGCCTAAAAAAACTATTGCCAGAATATGTAATTTATTTAATTTAATTGATTAATTTCCCCTATTATTGTTTAAAAATAATACTCCCGAAAATTTTAAAAAATAAATCCACAAATAAACATCCCTACACAGTCTACATTGTGGGCAAATTCGATCCTACCCATGTGGGCAGTGACCACATGGGGTTTTTTACCATTGATTTACACATAAACACATACACATTCACATAGGTGTGTGTGAAATCAATGGGTAGGATCGAATTTTCCCTACATTGTGCTAGTGCATTCATGTTTTGAATTCTCTATTTATGATCCCATTTATTTCTTGCATCTATTTACCATTACTCTTTTGTGAAATACACAGCCCCACAAACCAGTTTAATTGGTCCCCTTTTATTGTTGAATTTTTTTTTTTTTTTTTTTGTACAATTTGTTCCTTTTCCAAGCTGTTTGACCCGAAAATAATCCCATTTGATTAGTGTTTAGTGTTTACAGTATTATTATTATTATTTTTTTTTTTTTGCAATTTATGTTAAAATAAATTTCTTTTGCTGCAATTCAGGTACTTCAATAAATATAATTGCAGAGAAAAGGTACCAACAGCAAGCATAGGTATTGTAAATTTTTTAAATTTTGAAAAATGTCAGTCTCGTTACCGAACCATTTCGTCGAGGTTTGTAATCGTTAGATCATCATGTAATCGTCAGAGATAGTTGATCTAACGGTTACAAATCTCGACAGAATGGTTCCGTAACAAGATCATAACATCTTCCTTAAATTTTATCTTCACCTTTTTCCTTTTAATTTTTTAATTAAATAATTTTCATTATTTCTTCTTTAAGTGTGATTTATTTTCCAATTTCTTTCTCTCAGACGGTGGAATAGAAAAAAATAAAGGACGTGTTGAGCTGTTATTATCCACTCTCTCTCTCTCTCTCTTTCTCTCTCTCTCTCTCTCTCAATTCAAAAAAAACTTTATATTACTCGGTGCAAGCTGTAAATGAATGGAGAACGCAGTATGTAATTGATCATTTTTTGTACTGTTCATCTCATCTCTCTAGTCTCTCTAGTTAATATTTCTTCATTTTTTCATCACAGATAAATTCCTTATATCCTCCATTGTCACACATTATGAAGGTTTTGTAGCATTCCTTCATTTTCAAGACTCGCCCCCAAGATTCAAGCTTTTTTTCCTCATCTAACAAAACCCACAAATCAAAGGGGATTATTTTTTTTTGGGCTATTTTTACCTCACGAAATTCTGCGAAAAGCTTCAGCCTTTCCCACATTTGATCTACCTGAAACTCCAAATTAGGCCTGTCTTGAGTAGTTTCTGTACT